CCGACCCTTAATCTATGAATCTATGAATCTATGAAACTAAGAGACTGCAGCTCACTTATTATGTGATCCCCACTAACCATTCATGTGACCACTTGACCTCTGGTCTCCTGATAAACACAGTCTGACAAAGCTGATGGTGTCTGTCTAAATTATGCTGCCAGAATGCATGAGCTCATTTGTTTGACCTTGTTGGACTCGAGGGGACCAACAGTGATGTGGCATGCAAGGTTGAACCAACAATTTAATGTGTACATAACTTAAGCAGAAGTAAAAACCCAGTGAATATTCATTACAGCTACTACAACCAAAAGCAATGCTAATGAAATTGTCCTTGAAAGAAGCAAATACTATTTACTAATTTGGCCCTCAACTACACAGTGTCTGAGTGCCTCAAAATAAGGAACGCTAGGTTTTTGGATGTAGCCGTGTCGGTCTAAGGACATAGGCAGGCAAGGTGCTTAGAGTAAATGTGATATCTTTTATTAGGCCAACTCAGTGGTTAGAAAAAAGAAAAAATAAAGAATTTTTTTAAAAGTTCAGCTCATCTGTGAAGAATGGAAATATTAGCGCTGTTTTAAAGATGAGGAACTGAAATACAGGAACACAGATAGAAAGTTTTTTCTGAGTTTTAATTTACAACTTCAACCCATTGCCTCACGGGTTGCCCTTTGCGGGCAGGGAGGACAGTTGTTCGCCCTCTTCTTTATGGTAACCTTCAAAAAGTAGTAAACTGTTATGATAATCCCCTTTTCTCCAGACTGAACATACCTAATTCCTTTGGCCTGAATTCCAGACCCTTTTCATCTTTATCACTTGCCTTGGACAAGTTGCCTCTGTACATCTGTGGTACCCAGAACTAAACATAACAGGCCAGCTGAGGCCTAACCAACACCAAGCGGAGTGGTACTCCTGACATCGGGAGGCACTACTTCACTGTCAGGGCAGCTAGGATCTGGAACCAACTTCCAAGCAAAGTGGTGCTGGCTCCTACCCTGGGGGTCTTTAAGAGGAGGCTAGACGAACACTTTGCTGGGGTCATTTGACCCCAGTACTTTTTCCTGCCATGGCAGGGGGTCGGACTTGATGATCTGCTCAGGTCCCTTCCGACCCTACTAACTATGAAACTATAAAACCTGTTGTGTCTTGCCTACAATGATTCTGTTAATGCAGCCCAACACTGTATGTGCTTTTTTTGGCAATAGCATCCCAGTGATAACTCATGTTGCGTGCGTGATCCACTATAACCCCCAGATCCCTTCCATCAGTGCTACCACGCAGCCAGTTATCTCCCATTCTGTATTTCTGCATTTGGTTTCTCTTCCCTTATTATAGTGCTTTACATTTGTCTATGATGAATTCCATGTTTTCCTCTAGCTCAGTTCTCTTATTTATCACGACTACTTTGAATCCTTTCTTCCAAAGTGTTTGCAGCTCTGCCCAGTTTTGTGTTACCTGCAAACTTGACTAGGGAGTTCCCTATTCCTGCACCCCTCATCAGTAAAAATATTAAACAGCATGGGACTCAAAGCAGACTTCTGTGAGGCCCACTTGAAACCCCCCTGCCATTCTGACATCAGTATAGTTACCCTTTACTTGAAGATATTTAACCAGTTATGTATCCACCAAACAGTAAATTTGCCTAGCCTGTATCTCTCTAGTTTACTTATGAGAATGTGATGTGGGGCTGTGCCAAAAGCCGTACTAAAATCTAAGTACATTATATCTACTGCATTCCCTTTATCCAGCAGTTACCCTGTCAAAGAAGGAAAACAAGTTGGTTTGCTGTGATTAATTCTTAACAAATCCATGTTTTCTGCTAGTGACAGCTTCTTCCTTCAGCTGTCTGTTTTATATAACTTGCTTTTATCATTTCCCAGGTGCTAAAGTCAAGCTAACTAGTGTATAATTCTCTGGGTTCTCCTTTTTCCCGTTCTTAAAGCTGGGCAGTATGTTAGCCCTTCTTCAGTCTTCTTGGACTTCATGTGTCCTCTGTGATTTTGCAAATATTATTGCCAGTGGCTCTGAGATGTCTTCAGCTCATTCCTTTAGCACTCTGGAATTCATTCGGATTTGTTAAAAGCTTCCTGATGTACACAGAGAGTCTGGCAGAGACAGGAACTGAATTCTGTATCTTAGTTTAAAGCCGTATTTACTAGCTCCTGCATTTCATAGTCAACAATAGAGATGAGATGTAGGAGCTTTATTGGTGCCTGTTTAGGCTTTGGCAGTGCTGAAATCTGTCCAAGGTGTTCTATCCTAAATCATTTAAGCTTTTTGGCCACATCCAGACAAGCACAGCTGTGAAGTATGTGGTGCAGCATACATGTCTGCGGCACCACATGCTACACGTTCAGTTGTTCTCTCTGCTGCAAGGGAACAGTGCAGAGGGGAAGAGCGCTGAAAAAAAAGCAGAGTGGCACACACAGAGGCAGTGTGCACCACCCAAAGCTAGAACCTGGCCAGCTGGTGCCACACTCTACTACCAGCCAGGCTCCGTGCAGCAGGAGTGAAGCGGCTGCAGCCCTGGGAGGCCCCCAGAACCCCAAGTAAGGCTGTTGGGGCCAGCCCAGTGCACGTAGATGCAGCCGATTAACTAATCCCATTGCATATTTGCATATGTAGAGGTTTCATAGTTTCATAGTTTCTAGGGTCGGAAGGGACCTGAGCAGATCATCTAGTCTGACCCCCTGCCATGGCAGCAAAGAGTATTGGGGTCAAACGACCCCAGCAAGGTGTTCATCTAACCTCTTCTTAAAAACCCCCAGGGTAGGAGCCTGCACCACCTCCCTTGGAAGTTGGTTCCAGACCCTAGCCGCCCTGACCGTGAAATAGCGCCTTCTGATGTC